AAAAGGATCTTCCATCAGTATTCAGTACCTTGCAATATAGCACAGCTCCCAACGATAGGAGCTCTGTCACAAGTTGACTATCAACCTTATGGACCTTCTCCGGATCCTTGCTGCCTTCGTATGTTCCAATCCATCCCACGTATCCCATCGTGGTATCATGTCCCTTAACATGGAACTGATCTTTAAGACTGACAGGTAGACCATGAAGTGGCCCCATTGGCTTCCCATTTTGTAGCAAGTATTCATCCAAATATTTTGCTCTTTCAAGTCCTTGATCAAAAAATATTTCAAGGAGACAAGGATTCTATAGTAGACAAAATTTAGCATTAAATCCCAAAAACAGACACATATAGATGTGAAATAGCGAAATTTAGATATTAAAAATCCCATTCGGCGGTATAGGTACTTACAATCTGATGTGCAATGGCAGCAGCTTTACAATATGCTGCTGTTACTTGCGAGGAGGTATATTCGCCCGTCTTAATCTTCTCCACGATAGAGGTGCTTTCTAGGGAACAGATCGTGCGCTCGGCATCAGATAAGAAGCTCTGGATAAAATCGCCAGCAAACTGTTTCTGCAACTTCGCATTTTGCAGCTGCTCAGTGCTTAAACGCCATTCCTGGGGGATCTTCGACAGCGAATCTGCCTTTTTCGCGGCAGCCTTTTCTTGCCAGTTCATCGCATATGTCATTGTGAATTATGAGTGTATAGAGTTATACGTTTGTTGCTAATTCCGAATTATGAAGCTGGAAAGAGTTTCAACGACGAAATCAATAACTATGTTGTCGTGGGAATAGTAAGGGATGAATCTGGGGAAGAACGATGGATAATTGTTTACGCAAACAGTTACACAGCAAGGTTAAGGGCATTCTTCCCCGCCTACGTAGGCCCCAGTGCTTGTATCCATTGACCCGTATATATTGGAGGTAAGACCGTATTACTTCTCCTGTACAGGGAGGATGCGGGGCCATGTTGTGGTGGGAGGGGACTTGTCCTGGTTTCTGGTTGAGGTATGGAGTATCATTGCTATCTATCGGTCCAGTTTCCGAAGGTTCCTCTTTAGCCGAACTTATCACCGTGGATTCCATGCGATCCATAGTTTTGAATTTTATCTTTATCCGTGGAGAATACGTGAAGATGAATCTCGACTGTTGTTTGTTTCAGCGGAATGATGTCGTTCTCAGCTAGAAAACTTTTATCCCTGAGAATTTGAGACTCCGTATTGTACTCGGGATTTTGGCTGGGATGACCCTCCATAACTAAATGTTGAAATAATCAAATGAGAAATATAGTTGAGATAGTTGTAATAATTATTTATTTAAATAGTAGTTTGGGGACTTTTTTTTTAGTTCTTCATGTCCACCACACATCGGATACAATCCCCTGCCTTCATTTGTTCAAAGGCATCGTTGATATTGGCCAAGGGTTCACGGTGAGTGATGAATTCGTCTACCTTTAGTTTACCAGTCATATAATCATCAACCAAGTCAGGCAATTGGGAGCGGCCCTTGATGCCTCCAAAGGCACAGCCCTTCCACACGCGACCAGTAACAAGTTGGAATGCTGAGTTGGATGATCAATAACGGAATCATGCTAGATAGAATAATAGTAAAGGGATAAAAAAAAGTAAGAACTTACGTCGGGTGGAAATTTCCTGGCCAGCTGCTGCAACACCAATCACAATGCTCTGACCCCATCCCTTGTGGCATGCTTCAAGCGCAGCACGCATCACACCAACATTACCAGTACAATCAAAAGTATAGTCACATCCGCCATCGGTCATCTCGATGAGGTGTTCTTGTATCGACTTTCCTCCCAACTTTGAAGGATTGACAAAATCAGTAGCTCCGAATTTACGCGACCACTCTTCCTTGCCATCATTAACATCAACAACAATGATCTTGCCAGCTTTATTCTGGACAGCGCCCTGGATAACTGAGAGCCCAACACATCCGGCACCGAACACAGCAACATTTGAGCCTTCTTCTACCTTGGCAGTGACTGTAGCAGCACCGTAGCCTGTTGTAATGCCGCATCCGAGCAGACAGGTTCGGTCCATTGGGGCTTTGGGCGTTATGGCGACGACGGATATGTCGGCCACCACGGTGTACTGGGAGAAGGTTGAGGTTCCCATGAAATGCAAGAGATCCTTTCCGCGGGCCCTAAAGCGAGAGGTTCCGTCGGGCATGACTCCTCGTCCTTGAGTGGTTCTGATCTTTCCGCAGAGATTGGTCTTTCCAGACTTGCAGAACTTGCATTCTCCGCATTCGGGAGTGCTAGAACGAAACAGATTCTCGTCAGCTTTCTTCCATCCTAGCCGGATTTTTTTTGTTCTCGATTTTGATTTCCATACTATAAGGCGACAACATGGTCTCCTGGCTTCACAGTGGTGACACCTTCTCCAACCGATTCGACGATACCAGCACCTTCGTGGCCAAGGACAATGGGAAAAGCACCCTCGGGATCTTTGCCGGAAAGTGTATACGCATCTTCAGAGCAAGGAGAGAGGGTTGGTTAGATAATTTATTCGCTGTAGACAGGAAAGACGGGTATCAACGTAGCTCACCAGTATGGCAGACACCTGTGTAGTAGATCTGAATTCGAACTTCATGGGCCTTTGGAGGAGCAACTTCGACATCTTCAACAGTCAGTGGTTGTCCAGCCTCCCACGCAACGGCTGCCTATATGCAATTTAGTTTCACGGTAATGGTTGAGGAATGGCGGTCGAATGGGCTTCTGTTACTTTGCAGGTAATAGTCTTGAATTCTAGTCAGCGTTTCTATTCTTGAGAACGTATGACGATTGTGGAGGACTAACCTTCCCAACGGTGCTAGCCATATTGAATTAAGTATGATATGATGTTATGAGGATATCCCAAAAAGAGGCTCCTATTGTACGAAAATGCCTGTTGTTAGTCCAGAGAGCGAGAGAGGTTGTGTGCCGGTCCGGTTATCCAGCAATCGTACTATCTAAACACCGGACTGGAGTGGCCAATTGGACGAACTCGAAGCGTTAAACGTACCTTTTTGAGTCTTGGTCAAGAAGAGAGAGTGGCAGACAATACCAAAACAATGATCCGGTTAGAGTCAAGAGAGTTCTAGATATGAAGAAGTTTTTTTTTGGCTTGACGGAGAAAGTGAGGGGCAAGTTACTTGTTAGTTATGAGGGAGGGTTAACTTGGTGGGAGATAGAGTGGGTGGGGGGAAAGAAGTTATGAGGGGGAAAAAACAAACTTGAGATAAGGTCAAGTTCCACCCAAATTCCTTTTATGAGGACTTATCTTTTATATTAAGTATTTAAACATTAAATAAGATAGTTACTCCGCAGGGAAAGTCTTCAGTTGGGGAACGTTTCTCGAAGCCCAGGCCTGTTTGAAACCGCTCCCCGCATGAGTTGAGCTGATGGTTTTTGTCCGACGATGCAAGGGAAAAGCAAACCAGATCAAGCAGCTCTTCCTACAAGTTCCGTAGTGTAGCCAAGAGGCTAGGATCCGTTTGCCTTTTCCGTCTATATTATCGTGCCCGTTATTATTATTATCTATATATTTGGGCTTGTTGGATTATATTCAGTAATATCTTCGATAATAAGAAAGTGGAATTAGCGACGACACGCCACAGTATGCAGATAGAATAAGCATTGATTGGAGCCTTACTTATTTATTTATTTGTATTACTCTGTATGCCTTGCGGCTCACAGTCCTTCTAACTACTACTAACTGGAGCCTTACTTATTATCCTGGAGCAATTATTTGGTTCGTTATTTAACCGTCACAATAAATTGAAGTTTGCTCCGAAAAACCAATAGTTATACACAATAGATATGACATAAATAACGCAATGCAAGCCAGACCATAACGTATTCTTAAGCGCAATAAAAAAAATAATAGATCGAATTGTCCATCCAATCGCTGAACCGTATGGATAGCATTTCGTCGATTCCTCATCCGGGTTGGATTAAAAATATTTTTCACTCGAAGGAACATAATAATAAGTGAGCGCGGACGGAATAGGTTTCACTCGATTGTTCGGATGAGCATTGAGGAAGGAAGAAAGAAAGAAAATAACATGATCGAGCGAGTTAATTGACTCCAGGAAGCTTCCCGGTCTGTGACATGGCGGCGTTTTGTTCCTGGAATCGGATGGCCACTCGCTCTGAGGCCTTGATGAACTTATCGAAACATCGGTTGACACAGCCTGTTTCTCGAGGAGTCATGCTCTTGGTGGTGAAATCGAAAATGCAGTCTTCGAAACAACGTTGGACAATGTTGGAGTATGCCTATTTTTTCGGCAACAGTTCAACAGTTAATTCCAATGGATAAGAAGGGACAAGAGGGGGTAGGGAGGAAAGGAAAGGAAAGAAAGGGGAAGGGAACAGAAGAGAGAAAGAAAGAGAAGAACATACATTCATAACCTCCTTCAATTGATTCCTTTCTATTCTCTTGGCCAGCTCTTGCTGCTCTGATTGAGTGAGACTGTGAAGTTGTTAGCTAAGGAACCAAACTCCGAAGGGGAAGAAGTCACGCACGAATCCATGATGTATTGATGTTCGAGTGGATATATATGTTAAGATTGATTGATTGATTGATTGTCCAAGACTTGTTATGAATTGTCTGTCTCTGCCTGTCTATCAGTGTCCCAGGAGAGCTCCAGGGCTGTTTGGCTTCAAGGATGGAATTCTAACGGAGAGGCTGTTGATCCATCTCCGGGGATCCTTTCTTATTTTTTTTACTTTTTTTGTTTTTCTGGTTTCTTGGACACGCTAATGCATGGTATGGTGTACTCTGTATGTATGAGTTTAACCCATGCAGGCTCACAACCCAAACCAAGATCCCAGTTGGCATGCATTGCTTCCTCACACAAATCATTCCTATCATCAAAGATCTGTATCCTTTGATTATTCCATAGTCCATTCCTTATTATCTTTCAGAGCAAGAAAGAAATTCTCTTTTCTTTAGGAGCCACCCAACTGACAGCAACCCCTTAAATGTGGGTCGATAACAAGCATGTTAGCTAAGTGGTATAGCGCTGGGCTCATAACCCAGAGGTCCCTGGATCGAAACCAGGACATGCTACAAGATGTCTCTTTTTTTTCTTTCTAAATTAGTGATAATTTTTTGCTTTACTTTTTGTGTTTACATCAGTAATCTCCTTAATAATATGATCACATACATACGTACCTAATCGAGGCTGGGAGGTTTAAAATAGAACCTGGAGCCTGGAGCCTTGGATGTCTTAGTTAACTAATCTTCTTAACTGGAGTTGGGGAGGGAGGCTTAACTAACTTCTTAACTAACTTCTTAACTAGAGTTGGGGAGGGAAGTCCGGGGTTTTAGTTAAGATCTGGTTAGTCAGCCGTTCTCGAACCAGCTTTTTTATTTATTTTTTATTTTAATCAACGAATTAACTTCATATTAGAACCAACTATTATTTATCTGTTGACTTGATCTCATTTCTCTCTTTAATTAACACACTCACTAAGTTAGTTAATATAATAATTAATCCTCCTGGTTTGAATGCTGAGTTGAATGGCCCCCACAAACCATCCAGCCCAACCCCCAGGAAAGACTCGCTCCCCTTGGCACCTGACCAGTCATTGCGTTGCGTCCGAGTTGCCCTTCAGTTCAGACAGACAGACAGACCTTCTTACACGCTGCCTGTTGTTTTTCTCTGTCCCTCCCTCTCATTTAAAACTAGTCAACTCTTTCTCAGCCCTGGAGGGAGAATTCCTCTCGTTTCCCTTCTCTCCAAAGACACTCTAGGCTCCCGCGCATCCCTTACAAATTACTCAGTCAGACAGACTGACAACCCGCGCATTCACTGCAAATTAATCTGAATCAACCCCAGCCTGGTATGTTCCTTTTGCGCCAACCTGATTGAACTGGATATCCACCCTAGAAGGCCACCATTTTCTCATTCAATCTCTTCTTATAGAAATACACATCGCCTCTCTCTGTGAATAAACCCTCGCTTTCATCTCAATCTCTCCTTCCCCCCATCTCGGCGACTTCAAGACAACCTCCATTATTTGATCTCCCCATGTGTTGTTGATGCCCCAGATTGGCTTTCTTTTCTTGCTGTTAATTCCTAAACCTTGGAAATATCCATAAGGTAGGTTGGTCTTTTTTTTCTTCTTCCTAACAGAATGGAACTGAACTGAACTGGATTAATCATTTTTCTTTATTTATTTACAGCACTGGCCTCCAAACAATCCAACCATGCCCTCCTCTAGCATTCAGACTCCCTCTCACACTTCAGCTTATCAGCCTTCCTCCCATTCCGCTTCTACCAGCGCACAGCAATCATCAACCTCTCTATCTCAGGATCCCGCACTTCCGCCAACAAAGAGGGATCTGGCTTCATGGTGGAAACAGTTCAAGCGCGGCACAAAAAAGGATGGATCCTGTATGTTGTTTATTCTTCTTGTTCCCAATTCATGATGCTCTTTCATCTGAAACTGACCATGTTTATTTATAAACAGCTGCCCCTCCTTCAGGCATCTTTGGTACCCCGCTGAATGTCAGCATCAAATACGCCAATGTCGCCATATCTCTAGCTGGAGAAGATGGCAAGAGCTTTATATATGGTTATGTCCCCATTGTAGTCGCGAAATGTGGTGTCTTCCTGAAAGAGAAAGGTAAGGCATCTCTCTCTCCCTCTCTCTCTCCCCACCTATCAATATCAAACCTGCTAACAGCATTGCCCAACAATAAACAGCCACCGATGTTGAGGGTATTTTTCGATTAAGTGGTTCTGCGAAACGAATTAAAGACCTCCAGGAAATCTTCAACTCTCCACCGCAATTCGGGAAGGGATTGGACTGGGCTGGATACACTGTCCACGACGCGGCAAACATTCTTCGTCGCTATCTCAATCAGCTACCTGAACCAATCGTGCCACTAGAGTTCTATGAACGATTTCGCGACCTACTACGACACCGACTCGGGCGACAGGATGGCGAGGAAGCAGCCGCCCAGGTAGACGAAGCGAACGGGTTCAAACATGCTGAAGCAGTCCCTATATATCAGCGGTTGATCAAAGAACTTCCCCCCTTGAACCGACAACTTCTTCTATATATACTCGACCTTCTCACCGTTTTTGCCTCCAAATCCGATCTCAATCGGATGACTGCAGCTAACCTAGCGGCCATCTTTCAACCCGGAATGCTGTCACATCCCGCTCACGACATGTCACCACAAGAGTATAAGCTGAGCCAGGATGTAATTGTGTTCCTCATAGAAAACCAAGACAACTTCTTGTTTGGAATGACTGGCACTGCTGCAGACGAGCAAACCATGAAAGATGTGCAAGGAGGTATATATGTGTCTACTCCTCAGAAGTCGAGTATCAGGCGTTCCGTGTCCAACGCTAGTGGCGGTGGTGAAAGTTTGCGAAGATATGAGGCTATGCGCAGGAATCTATCGATATCTTCCAGGCACTCGAAGAATTCAGGTGGTAACGTTACGAGTCCCACCACCCCGAAATCTATAGGTGGTGGTAGTATGGGAGTCCATAGAAGCAATACCCTGCCATCCAAACGAACTGGCTTCTCACCCAACGCATTCATCCGGCATGACTCTCACACAACGACCCCTTCCATCAATCCTTCACCTGGCACTCCGTTGACTCTACCGCCACAACCACCTTCAAGGTCTCATAGCCGCACACCCCCAGTCATAACTCCAAATGAACCAGCGGGAACTCCCACCACTGAGACCCCTCCTTCGAATAGTCTCCAGCCCAGCCCTAAGCCAGCCAAAGAGATCTTTGTTCCGCCGTCTTCTCTCCCTCAAGCCGAAACTCCCGGCTCAGAATTTTCAACTCCGAAACCACTTGTCACCCCAACTCGGGAGCGAAAGCTAACCTCCTTCTTTGCCGCTTGGTCCAGCCCTCCAGACGAAAAGCGGGATGGCAGACCGACTAACAGGCTAAAGAAGAAGCGACGAATCCCTGGAAGTGAAAGCGAAAGTGCCCAGAGTTCAACACATTCCCTTCACGCACATGGGGCTGACGAATTGTCTCAGCAGCCTCCAGTAACATCTCAACCTGCGACTGGGCTCGGCCTCTTGGACTCGACCATCCTCGATGAATCGAACCTCTCAACTCCGAAAGCAAGTAATGTGGCGGCCCCGCAGGAAATAATATCTTCAACTACCTCATCATCCCACACGCATGGAAACCCAGAAACTAGCTCCTCGCCCCATAGAACTACAGAGAGCGGTTCTTTGACGGCAGCGGAGTCGCTGACGGACGGCATGTTAAAACCCCCATTGTCACGCACTCCTTCTCCTCTATCTGCCACCGATCAGTCCGATCTTGATGAGGCAACGAAGGCTGAGAGACGTGAGAAGCGTCGGAGCTGGAGGTTTGCCAGGTCAAAGAAGACCGATGATTGAGACCGTCATCCATTCTCATCTCGCAAACAAACACACACTCACACACACATCGATTTAATCCTTTTTAATCAGTTTTTCACACCAAGCACTTGAATTTATGAGCCTTAGTATATTATACCACCTTTTTAATTCCTCTTATTGCCGTCTTCCATGTGATCTATTCGGCATCTCTATCTTCTTCTTGTTTTTTCCCCTCTTCTTCTTCTAGAGGTATGGAGCTTGAGAAGCACTCCCTCTCTTTTTTTTTTTTTTTTGCTTCTTAATTTTATTTCCATGACCTGTAATAATGAGACATTCCACCACTTTTATTTCCATCGCTCTCTCTCTCTCTCTCTCTCTCTCTTTTCCTTTTCTACCTCGGCTTTTCATGTGGTGTGGAGGAGGAGTATTTCGTAGAACTAGAACATATCCACACCCCGCTTGGAAGTTATCGTAAACCCAATTGAGATTCCGTAATCTGATAGATAACCCTCGATTCCAATCAAATCTAGTGGGGATGTTCGTTAAGTGTCAATAGATCAATTCAGTGGTTGGTTGTCAAAGAGCTGCTCGTTACACTAATTAACTAATAACTGGCGAGTTCGGGAGTCTCAGCCTGCCCTGGTTGTATCTTATCTCTTCATTTCATTCCGGCGAAAACCAGATCTCAAGTGTCAAGTACTCCGTAGTTATGAGAAGTCGGGTATCCAAACTCTTAATCACGAATCGAAAGGCTAACCCTGGAACAAGGTTATCTTATCTGTGACAAATATAAGTTAACCAGATGATTTTTATCAACCCGCCATGCGCGTGTTCCAAGACATCTTCCAGTCCTGGCCGGCTCTCAGCTCTCTATCCCAGCTGCTTGTGCCGTATCCAAACGACACCTCTCCCAGTCTTGGATTTGATCCAATAGAAGCAACGATTGGCTCCGTACATGAAGCCCTAATCTCCTCAAATGCTACCTGTCGCGAGGTGGTGTCTGCGTTCCTACAGCGCATCCAAACATACAACCCGATCATCAATGCCATCATATCTCTAGACCCTGATGCACTATCCGTGGCAGATACGCTCGACCATCGGATACATTCGGTGTTGAATCAAGATGGCACTATCACAGGAGAAAGGTTTATTCGGAACTGTAATCCTTTGACAGATATATGTAACAGCATCTCACACTTGATCTCAATGCAGCCTCTCTTCTGCATCCCAATTCTGCTAAAGGACAACTTCGATACCACCAACGTTCCAACCACTGCAGGATGCAAGGGCCTGGCCGATTCTCCCCCACCCCTCCGCGACGCAGCGGTAGTCACTCGTCTGCGCAATGCAGGCGCCATCATCCTAGGCAAAACCAATATGCACGAAATGGCTCTGCAGGGACTCTCCGTTTCATCCCTGGGCGGCCAGACCTTGAACCCATATGATCTCTCGCGTACACCTGGGGGTAGCTCGGGTGGTACTGGCGCCGCTATCGCAGCTTCTTTTGCCGTTCTAGGTCTGGGAACAGATACCATGAATAGTCTACGCAGCCCAGCAAGTGCGAATAGTTTGTTCAGTGTGAAGCCTACAAGAGGGCTAATTACGCGCGCTGGTGTGCTCCCTGTCTCATACACGCAGGATACTGTGGGAGTTATAACCAGATGTGTGCGAGATCTGGTACTGAGTCTGGATGTAATGGCCTCCGGAGTGTATGATGG